TTTTAGAGAAACTTTTTTTTTTATTAGCAACCCCCAGGTGGTTCTGCTTCTCTTGTCATTATATTCCACGTCATGAAAAGCGTGGGATCTTTCTACTACTTTCCCAGACTTTACAAGTAACCAGAATACTGTGTACAGCAGCCCCATGATGGGTAAGACATTATTCTTCCATTCCATCTAGACAGAGCTTTGAAGTAGCTCTGAGCTGCCCTGGCCTGGGTTTGTGTTCTAAATGACATGATGAGCACTGCTTCAGATGGGCTTCTACTTGGGGTCTCTGGAGAAGGAAGTAGTGGTTCTGGCCTCTCCCCTGGGTGTTTTTCTGAGCTACCTCTGAAGAACAGAGATTCTCAGGGTTGAAAGAACTCTTGCAAATCTAACTGAGCTACCATTTCATATCTAAATCCCTCCAACCACACCCCTGGCATGTGTCTCTCAGTCTGTCCTTGAATACCCTTCGTGATAAAGAATATACTTCCAGGAGAGTTAGTCCAGTTTATCTATGGATCACTCTCATCAGAGTTTTCCCAAGGGCCAAATTGTTCACCTCTTTTGTTAAGCTGAACGGATGGAGTGCCAGCCGGCGTACAAAAGCAGCCAGTTTGGTCAAGGCTCCCAGTCAGACTGCGGTGTAAACACAATCCTCATGACAGTCTTGGTGGTAGAGGGACTCTACAACTATGTTTTGATTCATTAGTCCCCAGTCTCCGAAGATCTGTCCTTCATAACCTGTGAAAATTTGTAACATCCTGTTTTCTTAATGTTATACTTTACATCAAAGAAATAATTTCTTCTAAAATATGTAACTACTAGGTAAGCCTAACAGTCCATTTTGTCTAGATACGAAACACCTTTTGTTTTTTGGAAGAACAAATTGCTTTCATAAGTCCTGAAATCATAATTTATTTCTGGAATAAGCTGTGTCCTCAAAATACCAAGTTATATCTATTGAATTTTCTTTTTTTTTTTTTAAGATTGTATTTTATTTTATTTGAGAGAGAGAGAGAGAATGAACAGGAGGATGGGGCAGAGAAGAGATAGAGAAGCAGACTGCCTGCTGAGCAGGAAGCCTGAATTTTCTTTAGCGTGGCATATTTCTCATTTACTATCCATATTCCTTATGTTAAACTCTGCTGTCTGGTATTTTAGAGGTCGACGTTATCAAAATTTTAACTATGCAACTTTTCTAATGGCTACTGTGATTTAGTATCCTCATTTCTTAAAATTCAAACACCCATAAATTTTTCCTAACAACTTAAAGGTTGTCATCACATAGTCACATGTACTTAAGTAGCATTTTAGTTTTCATGATACCACTGTATAACCCATGCTATTCCTTGTAATTCTTATGTAATGTTTACATAGATAACTAATAGATAACTACTGTCATCTCTAATTTTTGTTTCAAATTTTTCATTTAAATATTTAATACTCTGAGTATTCAATAAATCATCCAAAGGATTATAGACTCTAGCCATTGTTTGGGAGGGTTTTGGTGGGGGGTGTTTTGTTTTTTAAGTAAGCTCTACACCCATTGTAGGGCTTGAACTCATGACCTGAGATCAAGAGTTGCGTGCTCTACCAGCTGAGGCAGCCAGAATCCCCTGGAGTTTTTTAGCTTACAGTTGAGGAGATAATGACTAAATCAACTAAATTTTAGTAAATGCTCTATTCAAAAGTGCTTTTCATAATAGCTTAATTTTTATCACTTTAAACTTGATGATTCCTAGTGTGTAAGCAATGCTGTGCTAGGGCTTTAGAAATAAATTATAGTTTTTCAGACATAAGGATAACACTCTTAAACTCCCTACTCTGTGTGCACTTCCCCCTTTCTTAATCTGACCTGGTAGGTTTTTTAATTTTTCAAGTAGTAGCACATAAATATGAGACTTACTACTTAGGTTGTAGACCATCCTTGCAATTCACATGGAGTAATTGACGTCTTGGCATCACTCACCATTCTATAGATTAGGAGCCACTGCTCTGCCACAATTCTTAGCTTTCCAGGATTACCTGACAAGCTCAGGGCAAGGAACAGCATGAGCCCAGAGAAATCTCCCAGGAGCTGAAATCATGCCAGGTAGCCCATGGGAAGCCTGAAGTAACCTTGAAAACCCACAGAACCACCAGAAAAAGGGCTTGAGTGGAATCTTTTACATCTTTTGCTTCCCTCTGACGGACACCAGGATTTAATTCAGTGTGTCCCAGGAGACTAAAGGAGACCCTTATTTTTTTTTTTAATTTATTTTTTATATATTTGACAGAGCACAAGTAGGCAGAGAGGCAGGCAGAGAGAGAGAGGAGGAAGCAGGCTCCCCACTGAGCAGAGAGCCCGATTCGGGTCTCCATCCCAGGACCCTGGGATCATGACCTGAGCCGAAGGCAGAGGCTTTAACCCACTGAGCCACCCAGGTGCCCTGACCCTTAATTTTTTAATCTGATTGATTCCTGGAGGAAAGTTGAAAGCTGAGACTACTATCTTGTTGGCTTATTATTATAAATTAGGGTCTTATTCATGGAAACTACAGATCTTCCTTGACTTACAATGGGGTTATGTCCTGATAAACCCATTGTAAGTTGTAAATATCTTAAGTGAAAAAAGCATCTACCCCTCCTAACCTAGCAAACATCATAGCTTAGCTTAGCCTGCCTTGAACATGCCCAGAACACTAACATTACCTTCAGCTGGTCAAAATCATCTAACACAAAGCCTATTTTAATATAAAGTGTTGACTATGTTCTGTAATTTATTGGATACCATACTGAAAGTGAGCAATGGAATGGTTGTATGGGTATAGAATGGTCATAGTGTATTGGTCGTTTACCCTCTCCATCATGTGGCTGACCGGGAGCTGTAGCTCAATGCAGCTGCCCAGCATTGTGAGAGAGTCTCCTACCATATTGTTAGCCTGGGCAAAGATCAAAATTCAAAGTAAGGCTTCAGCTGAATACTAACCACTTTCACACCATTGTCAAGTCAAAAAATCATAAGTTGATCAGGGATTGTCTATAATTCTATATAATAAATGTTCCACAAAAAATGAAGTAAGTGTTCCAAAATGTATTATTAAAATATGCATTGCATATATGTTATTTTTACAATCATATACAAAAATATGTCATAGCGATATTTCTAGCTGCAATGAAAGAAAGCAGGTATGGAGCTGTTAAGGACCTAGATTCTGGAGACACACTGTAGATTCAAATTCCAACTTTGCCCTTGCTAGCTGGGTGATCTTGGGCAAGTTACTTTTCTATGCTTCAGTTATCTGTAAAATAGTGGTAACAGTTCTCACCTCTTAAAGGTGTTCTAAGGATTAAATGAGTTAATGTGTAGAAAGTACTTAGAACTAGCAGTGCCTGACAATGTTACTAAGTGTTGGCTGTTATTTTGTGTTGCACATGGTCATTTAAGGAAATTTTTCTGAATGATCTTAACATACCAGCTCAATAAAGTTGGCTTTTAAGGCTGTTTCTTTTCCTGATAAGCCTTCCTAAAGCTAGAAATAGGCATTCTTCATCATACCCTTCAAGGCTATTCATGATCTGACTTTCTTTTCCATGCTTTCTCTGTACAAATTCTTTACCTAAGTTGTGTTTTCTTGGGTTCTGTTCATTGCCTACCTCTTTTTTTTTTTAAGTTTTTTTATTTCAGTATAGGTGATGCACAGTGTTATATTATTTTCACATGTACAACGTAGTGATTCAGTTCTCTGTGCTATGCTTACCACAGGTGCAACTACCATTATTCACCATACAACGCTATTACAGTATCATTGACTATATTCCCTATGTTGAGCCTTTCCTATGACTTATTTCATAACTGGAAACTTGTATCTCCCAATCCCCTTTACCCATTTTGCCCATCTCCTACCCCCTTCCCTCTGACAACCATCAGTTTGTTCTCTGTATTTATAGGTCTGATTCTGCTTTTTATTTATTTCAATGCCTACCTCTTTTGCAAAATTTTACCACTGTTATCTGAATAACTTTGGAATTTATTGAATGCTATAGTGTTCTCTTTGCTTTTAAAGTCATTTCTGAATCATCAACCCTTTACGGACAGGAGCTATGTGCAATACAATTCTTTATTCCCTGTCACCTAGTACAGTGTATTAAGTACTTAAGTATGTGTTAACTGGATTGCACAACCAATTGAATATTGTGTATGTATATTTATTTGCACACATGTTCAACGTGTGTAGCAGGTTAACACTTTTGAAATTTAACTGTGTTTCACAAACTTGGAGCACTTAAGAGAAATTTAAAAATTACTACAAATAAGTGAAAACACCTGCAGATTAGATTTTTTTTGAACTGCATAGTAACCAAAAAACAGCACACTTTTTATGTTGTAATTTGGGCCTACATCAACTACTGGATAATTATAGCATTTCTCCTTTGAAACTAATACTGCACTGTAGCATAGGCAGAGAAAGACTTCATAGCTCTCAGTGTCCACAGCGCAGAATTAAGGTTGTGAGAATAAGGAACTAGATAAGAAAGGGACAAGGGAAAGAGGGGAGAAACATACAATTGAATTTGTATCTTCCACTAATATTTAATAATAATAATAAAGCATTTAGCTAAAAATGTATGACACAAGACTTTCAACCTTTTGGTTATTGGTGTAATTTTGTGTGTGAAAACTGTTGCACTTGACATCCAAAAATCTAAATATTTATAGAATTATCAGTGTATACCTGAATCTTGGACATTTTAGTTGAAGTTTAAATAAAAATAATTTTGTGCTATAATTTTAACCATCTTTGTCTTGACTGAAATTTGGAATTACCATCCTCTCCTTACCCTGTATAACTTGTGAATTAAGAGTTTACTATATTTTAATTGCCTAATTTTTATTCCTCTTTTACTCTTTGTTAGTGAATATACTTTAACATGAATTGTGACATTAGGTATTTTAGGTATAAAAAGTGAGCTCTTATCAAGAATACATTAAACTGAAGACTCTTCTTTCTTTTTTTTTTTTTTAATACCAGATACTCTAGATGAATATTTTGAATATGATGCAGAGGAGTTCTTGGTCTCTTTGGCCTTGTTAATAACAGAAGGTCGAACACCTGAATGTTCTGTAAAAGGTCGCACGGAAAGTTTCCATTGCCCTCCAGCACAGTCATGTTACCCAGTAACTAGCAAACATGAGTGCAGTGACAAGCTGGCTCAGGTGAGAATTGTGTGTTGAGTACTTTTTATTTATATTTATACAAACTAGTTTAAATTTTGTCATCATCTGTGTTACATCGTAATTCCAGTGTTCACATTTAAATATAAAATTAGTTAAAAAACCATAGTGAATGCAAGTTGGTGCAGCCAGTTTGGAGAACGGTGTGAAGATTCCTTAAGAAATTAAAAATAGAGCTTCCCTATGACCCTGCCATTGCACTACTGGGTATTTACCCCAAAGATATAGATGTAGTGAAAAGAAGAGCCATCTGTATCCCAATGTTCATAGCAGCAATGGCCATGGTCGCCAAACTGTGGAAAGAACCAAGATGCCCTTCAGTGTACGAATGGATAAGGAAGATGCGGTCCATATACACTATGGAGTATTATGCCTCCATCAGAAAGGACGAATACCCAACTTTTGTATCAACATGAACGGAACTGGAAGAGATTATGCTGAGTGAACTAAATCAAGCAGAGAGAGTCAATTATCGTATGGTTTCACTTATTTGTGGAGAATAACAAATAACACGGAGGACATGGGAAGATGGAGAGGAGAAGGGAGTTGAGGGAAATTGGAGGGGGAGACTATGGACTCTGAAAAACAATCTGAGGGTTTTGAAGGGGCAGGGGGCTGGGAGGTTGGGGGAGCCTGGTGGTGGGTATTATGGAGGGCACGTATTGCTTGGAGCACTGGGTGTGGTGCATAAACAATGAATCTGTTACACTGAAAAGAAATTAAATTTTTAAAAAATTAAAAAAAAGAAAAAGAGAGAGAGAGAGAGGCCAAGGGGCATCTGGGTGGCTCAATCGGGTAAGCATCTGCCTTCAGCTCAGGTTATGATCCCAGGGTCCTGGGATTGAGTCACAAGTCAGGCTCCCTGCTCAGCAGGGAATCTGCTCCATATCCTTCCCACTTGTGCTCTCTCTCACTATCTCTGTCTCTCTCAAATAAATAAATAAAATATTTAAAAAAATAAAAAAATAAACTATAGTGAAAAAAATCCTAATCCTGGACCATAGCTAATTACCTTGACTCTTGAAAGCACTGTAGGTAGCTTTGCAAATCAGCATACATGTTGACAGCCAATTTCATACCTGCTTTCTCACACACCAGAATTAAGATTATTACTACTGACTTTATGTTTATTTAGTGGAATTATCTTCATGATTATTTTCCTTGCATTAGTCAGTGTCCCTCTGATAATTTTTCCCCCCAAATTTTTGCTATCATATTAATGTTTAAAAATATTTAGTCTGGTAGGTAGTGTATAATTTGTTAAAAGGACTTTTCTCAACAGTTCCTTTCTTACTCTAAATTTATACTTTTAAAATCTTGTCTTTTTGAGCATTTAGTGAAAATGAATTTTTAATATTTAGCTTTTCACTTGGAATGAATCTTTCTTCTGTAACAATGATACAATTAATAAACTATGCTAGGCCACCTGAAGGCCTGTCAGATACTGTGTTATGGCAGTTATTTTTCCACAAAATAAAACAAAAATAACCCCCAAGAAAATTTGCATCATACCTGTTTAGTACTAATCCGCACTGTGGAACTCAGTAGCATCAATCCATTACTTAATGATGAACTCTAAATAGACGAGCCTAAGCAAAGCTCTGCCATTGGTGACTCATTTCTCATATAGATGTCTTTTTACAATTACAGTTTTAAAATTTAAATATAAAATTCCTTGAGCAATTGAGACCTTTTGCTTATATTCATTTCCCCTTAAGTGTCGTCAAGCCAGAAGAACTAGATCTGAGGTCTCGTTGTTGTGGAAGAATAACCTTCCAATCATGGTGGAAGTCATGCTACTCCCAGACTGCTGCTACAGTGATGATGGGCCCACCACAGAAGGAATTGATCTCAATGATCCTGCAATTAAGCAAGATGCATTATTATTAGAAAGATGGATTTTGGAGCCAGTTCCTCGACAGTAAGTTGTTGTACTGTTGAAGTTGTTGTTGGTAAATCAGGCTTTCCATTGCTTTCTATAAATTATTTTAGTAATATGTCATGTCTTTGAATTCTTCTATTTATGTGGTAAAATTTAGACATTTAGTACTTATATGACTTGCAGTGACACTAGTTAATGCATGTCTAGACTCTTGAAAACATACATCTGAATGTTTGTTTTAGCTCCTTTCTGCAATTCAGTCATTTCATACTTGCTGGCATTTAAATGATACTTTTTCCTTCCCTTAGGAGTGGAGATCGATTTATTGAAGAGAAGTCTCTTCTGTTGGCTGTCCGCTCATTTGTGTTTTTTTCCCAATTAAGTGCTTGGCTGAGTGTTTCTCATGGTGCTATTCCACGAAATATTCTTTACAGGTATGTCTTGGGCAAAATAAGAATAGTGTGTATTCAATTATGTTAACTACTGAATGATAGTTTACCTTTTAAACAGTTAATTTCCTTCATTTCTAAATGTAAGTAGATAAAATTTACTGAAGTTGTTCTCAAAACAAGTTAGGGAAATTTAAATGGGAATCACTATGAACTTTGCTTTTTGGGTTAAATTTGGTATAGAATAGTTTTCAGAGCATTTTTTAGCTTTCAAGAACCAACAATGGACTTAATGCTGCCATTATAAATACAGTAGAAAAACTTTCTGGGCTGCTGAATTTCCATAATGGTAGACTTAATTTTTGTATTGTGAAAACTGTAAATTTATAGGATGCTGAACAGCTCTCTAATTGACTCTGTAGGCAGGTGGCCATGAGATCACTAGTATCTCTTCATCACCTTGTACAACAGAATTAGCTGAATCCATTTATTTAGTAGTAAACACAAAATCCATTTTTCCTGTTTTGACAAATAATTTTAACTTATAATATTCTCGAGCCTTAATGCTTAAGTAGTCTAGTGTTCTTTTTTTTTTAGATTTTATTTATTTGTCAGAGAGGGAGAGAGAGCGAGCGAGCACAGGCAGACAGAATGGCAGGCAGAGGCAGAGGGAGAAGCAGGCTCCCCGCCGAGCAAGGAGCCCGATGCGGGACTCGATCCCAGGACGCTAGGATCATGACCTGAGCCGAAGGCAGCTGCTTAACCAACTGAGCCACCCAGGCGTCCCTAGTCTAGTGTTCTTAAAAAGATCATCCCTGTTCTAAGCATAAACTACTGTCCTTTTTGGGTGCCTGGGTGGCTCAGTTGGTTGAGCAACTGACTTGGGCTCGGGTCATGATCCCAGACTACCGGGATTGAGTCATGCGTTGGGCTCCCAGCTCCATGGGGAGTCTGCTTTTCCCTCTGACCTTCTCTCTTATGCTCTCTCTGTCTCTCTCCCAAATAAATAAATAAAATCTTAAAAAAACTATTATACTTTTATTGGTTTTATCAGAATGACATTCATGGTAAAGTAGTTGAAAGTAAAGCCTTTTTACTTCCCTTTAACAGTAATTAATGTAAACAAAGGTAAGTATATGATGATCTGAAATGTTTTTATAAAATACAATAATGTTACAAATTTTATAATCCATTGATTCCCTATTTTTCCTGTACAATTCTAGAATCAGTGCTGCTGATGTAGACCTGCAGTGGAATTTTTCACAGACTCCAATTGAACATGTGTTTCCTGTTCCCAATGTTTCTCACAATGTGGCCTTGAAAGTCAGCGTTCAGTCCTTGCCCAGACAATCTAATTACCCAATGTTGACCTGTAGTATTCATGCTAATGTTGGCCTTTATGAGAAAAGAATTCAAGAACATGAACTTAAAGCCCATCAGCACCGCAATTCTAAAGAAGCAGAACAAAGTAATACAAATAGTTCACAGCGTCTGTGTAGCAAACAATCTTGGACCATGGCACCCGAAAGCATATTACATGCAAAAAATGGCACAACTCCAGAATGTATTGCAGCCGTCAAAAATGTCAAACTGTATCCAGGCACTGGCAGTAAATCTGACCATGGAACATGTCAAGCCAATATTCTGGGCTTCAGTGGTAGAGGAGATAAAAAGTCACATGAAACACCAGTGAGAACTTTAAAATCATTTTCAATGATTAATTCTAGTGTCTCTAGCCGCCAGAGTTCCTGGCAATCCGTTGGTGAGACTAATCCTTTAATAGACTCTTTAATTCAGGAGCGACAAGAAGTTATTGCAAGAATTGCTCAGCATTTGATTCATTGTGATCCAAGCACTTCACATGTTTCTGGACATCCATTTAATATGCAGCAGTCTAGTTCACTTAATTCAAAACTTTCCCGCGTTTCACAGGAAAATGAAAATGTGAGAAAATGTAAAGAAACATTCTCTCTTTCTTTTGGTAGTCCAGAGCTTACCTCCTCAGAAGACACCAGTGAGGGAAAAATTCAAGTAAAACCAGAAACTCCTCAAAGTGCCTCTGGCATTTCTGATGGTCTTTATTCTCGTCAGTCTGTTGGTGAGACTAATCCTTTGATAGGCTCTTTACTCCAGGAGCGCCAAGATGTTATCGCAAGGATTGCTCAACACTTGGAGCATATTGATCCAACAGTGTCACATATATCCCGGCAGTCATTCAACGTGCATGACTCCAATTCGGTTCCTTCTAAAGTATTCAGGAGTTTGTATGAAGACAAAAGTTTGTTGAAGAAAAACAGGGATGACACCTCCATTTCCATTTCTAATACAAAATTTTCTTTATTAGAAGACAGCAGTGAAGGGGAAAACTTAATACCCAATAAATCATTGAGTTCTTTTCAATGCAATAGTAAAGTCAAGTCCTCTTTGAAACCTCAAATAAGAAGAACTCTGTATCAGGACAATCCTAACGAAATCATTCAAAATACATTTCTAGAGACACAGAACAAAGCTACTGGTGTTTTGACTCCCTCAAATATGTCTCACTGCAAAAAAAATAACTTAGATTTGATAGTTAGATTGGAAACTGCACTTTCTGACTGTCAATTTAAGGAGCAAGAAATTATCCGTGAAGTTGATAAAAAGTATTCAAATTGCAACAGTATTGACAAACAGACTTGCACAAATAAGTATAAGGAAAAAGTAATAAAAAATGAAAATTGTAATCCAGAATCTTTTAACAATCACCAATTTGAGAATCCCAAGAAAAATAACTCAAAAATAAAAACTACTATGTTGGAAATGTCTGGATATTTGAACAAACATGAAAATAAGTGCTCAAATAAAGACTCAAAAAGGCCCAAGACATGTGAGCAAAATACTCAACTTAATAGTGTAGAAAATTATCTCAACGATATTGAAGTTTTCAAATGCAAAAAGCCAGACTCATTGAAAAATGAACAGGATAAGAAAGAAGAAACAGTTGATGAGAAGTCGCAGAACTGTTCTCAGAGAAAGACTATAAAAAACTGTTTGTCTACATGTGAACGACTGAAAAGTACAGAGGTATTGGTAGGTAACGTCTAATATTTCAAATATATTTCTTGAACATTTATTATGGTTTGAATTTTGTTTACAGGAACTCTAGTTATAAAGGCCCAAGGTGCCCATTAATTATAGTATACAGTCTGTCAGAATAAACCTGCAATGAAATAACATCCTTTCAAAATAACCCAGTTAAAAGCAAATGTTAGGTAAATTCTTCCTGTTGCCCTTTGTTGGTTATTTCAGTATTATGGGCAAGTGCTGGCGAGTAAATAGTCAGAAATGTAAGCTCATTAGCTTAACATATTGTTTGTTAGCAGCTCTGACCTAATACAGTGTGCCCATTGTGTTATGTCACCACTCATCTAAGGATTTTCAGAATATCGATAGTGAAATCACTCGGCTGTTGGTCAGAATACCTGGGTTCCAGTCCTGACTTCACAATTTGGTCCTTGAGTCACATTGAATATGTCATGTAACTTTTCAAAACCTCAGTCTCCTCAGTTTTAAAATAAGAATGATCAATCTCTTGGGTCTCTCTCAATTGTGACAATCAAATAACAGATTTTAAAATATTTTGTAAACCTTCCATGCATTATGTAAATAAGATACTTCAATTATTTCCATTTTATTTAACTTTCTAACCAAACCATTTTTTAACTTTAGAAAACCATAATGCTTAAATTTCCTTTATTTCTGTAAGTATTATCACATTTAAATCTCAATTATATTGAAAACAACTTCTTTACTGCGTTGATCCAAATCTGAATGACCTTAGTTCATTTTCATCACTAAAATTAGTTCTCTAACATGGATTTAATCAAATGATAGTTTCCAATTTACTAAATTTGTAATTGTCACACAAATAGTTAGCTTTTCTTGATCCCTCCTGGTACCTAATAGGGTGGCTTAATTTGGCCATAATATTTTTCAAGGTACTAAGAGTTACTTTTTCATATTCTTGTTTTAAATATAATCATAAAGTGTTTACTAAGTGCCCAGGCTTTTTTTCTGAATATTTTACACATGTTGGTGTACCTAATCCTTTCACTAAACTATGAGGTCAGGTGTTATTACTAATTCCAATTTACAAATGAGGATTTTCAGCTTGGAGAGATTAAGTATCTTGCCCAAGGTCACAAAGCTAGCAAATGGCAGAGCCAGGGCCCAAATTAGTCTTTTCTGATTTTCATGTGTTTTTAGGAATTTCTGGTGTTTGGGTTTAAACTTGCTTAATTTTGAAGAATTAGCCTGTTTCCTGTATCACTTCAAAAATGTGGTATATTTTAGAACATTCTGTTTTTTTCTACCTGTGAGTACTTTTTTTCACAAATTAAAAACATCAGATGTTGGCTTAGCCATTGTTAGACTCTGAGTATTTATAAATATGACCATATGTTGATAAGGCAATTATATTGGGACATAGTTTCTTTAGAATATTTGAGTTTATTCAGTATCCTAGAAAAAACTTGGACATTTTTTTCTGATTAAAATAAATGTGTGTGTGTGTGTGTGTGTGTGTGTGTGTGTGTGTGAATACAGATCTATAGATCATTAGCTTCACCACCAAGGATGTAATACTTCAGTATGTATTAGGAATAAGACTAAACAAAAAATTACTTAAATATTGCCATTACAATCTAATTATTTTCCTAGCAGAAGACTATACCAGTGAAACATTCAAGTGTCTGGCGGAAACATAATTTTCATTCCTTAGATGGAACTTCAACCAGAGCCTTTCATCCTCGAACTGGATTGCCTCTTCTTTCAAGTCCTGTAAGGTTTTTTCCCTCTTATTTCATATTTAAAGTTGGAAGCATCTAAAATGTTTACAAATCATTTTATCCAAATTGTAATTGAAAAAAAATTTAAATACCTTTAACAGAAATTTCCAGTTAGAAAACATATTATTTTTTGATATACTTAGTAACTCTATGTTAATACAGGGAAAGGCTAAAAGCAAGAATAAAAATATTAGGATTATAAGATTTCTCTGAAATTCTTTTGTCTAATATTTTAATTGTTACTAAATATCAAGAAAGTATTTAGTGTCAAGTGAGTTTGTATAAATAAATTTGTATCTTAGCACCAAAGCTAGTTGACACCATCAGGTGGGTCATTTGGGAATCAAATTTGTGGTTGTCTTTGACCTGGAAGCCATGCCACATCTTATTTTGAGACACAGAAATCGCCCTACTCTATGTTTACAAATAGATCTGTAGATCTGAGTGCAGTGGTCAGGAGTGTTCCTTTGGAGTGACACTGATGTCACCCTATCTGTGTGACATTTGTGACATTAGTTCAATAATATAATCTGAGCCTCAGTTTCTTCATCATTAAAAAGGGGGTGATATGGTCTCTTTTAGTGTTGTGAGGATGGTTAGTAAGCAATCAGTAGTTAGTTGCTATACCTGCCATTTCAGTTAAACCTGAGGCAAGTAATCAATATCACAGCAGAAGTGAAAACATGTATGTTTTGCTACTGACATGATAATTTCTGTTGCTTTATCTGTGTTATGTAAACTGAAAGGATACAGTACCTGGCCTATGTTCAAAAAATAATTATTGAATAAGAAATCTAGAATTTAAACTTGTAACGTGGACCATAGATGTTTATTTTAGAGAAATTAAATTCCAAACAATTTAAAATAACCCCAAATATTTGACCTACCTATGGGATGCTTTCAAAAAGCCTGAGTGATGAGGAAAAAAAACTAGTTAGCATCATACTGATATAAAAGGCACTGTAGACTTCTGTTTAGTATGGTAGACTGAACTGATAAAGGCAGACCCTTCCTCCTCAAACGCAGATGTCCTGATAGAATATAACTTTTAATACAAAATAATATATAATATAACCCTTAAATACGTAAGATAATGTAAGAGAAAGAAAGATAAATCTCCAAATTTGGGGCAAATTTTGGCCCTCTAGGATATCCGAACCTAATACAATGCTAAGGTTTAATGCCTCTGGTGGGACAGGGGTTGAGATGTAAGAACATGTGTACATGTACAATCGAAATTGTAAATATGAAAAATATTTTAATTGCTGTGTATGCACACACATGTATGCATAAAACTGCAGATGGATTAACAGATGGATTCAGCTAATTGGACTACAATCAGTGAGTGGAGAGACAGATATTAAGAAAGCATCTCAAATGAAGTACAGAAAGGAAGAGACATGGTAAAATGTGAAAGAGCCACCGAGGATAAAATGAGATGTTCAGTGTAAGTCTAGTACAAACTCCAAAAAGTAGGACTAGACGGAACAAGGAAAATTCGGTATCAGAAGAAGTGAAAGAACTTTCCAAATTCAAGACATGAGAGTTTAGATAGAAAACTTCACATTAACTTCACATTTTATAGTCAGAACTTTATACTTCTGACTATAAAAAATAGCATGGTATACTTGTACAAATCAAAAATATTGAGACTGTTTAGACTTCCAGTATCATATTTAATAGGTTTATGTATTTAATATTCTCTAGAATATTAAACAAGTCTTTCTAATTTGTATGTTATATGTGATTTTACCTTTATTTTACATCTGGATCTTTCATCTTTAGGGTATTTTTAGCTAGCTGGTTTGATTGGTGTCTTTTTTTTTTTTTTTTTTTTTTTTTATTTATCCACTTGACAGAGATCACAAGCAGGCAGAGAGGCAGGCAGAGAGAGAGGAAGGGAAGCAGGCTCCCTGCTGAGCAGAGAGCCCGATGCGGGACTCGATCCCAGGACCCTGAGATCATGACCTGAGCCGAAGGCAGCGGCTTAACCCACTGAGCCACCCAGGCGCCCTGATTGGTGTCTTAAATGTAATGGGGTATACAATGGTTTTTGAACATGCAGAGTAGTATTTTTTAATCCTGTTCTCTGTGCAGCTCTAGGGTTCTTGGAAACATACAGTGGAGTGGGGATGGACTAAGGAGCAGTAGAGCTGGCATCATTATTTAATTTTTTTGTTTGTTTCTTTTAATTTTAAAGCTACCAATCTTTTATTACCCCGCAAAAGACAGTAGTACAGTTGACCCTTGAACAACATGGGTTTGGTCTGCCCGGGTCCACTTATATGTGGGGTTTTTGTTTTTGTTTTTGTTTTTGTTTTACTGTAAATGTATTTTCTCTTCTTTATGATTTTCTTAGTAACATGTTCTTTAGCTTTGTTTTAAGAATGTAATACAGTACATAACCCATATAATGTACAAAATATGTGTTAATCAGCTATTTATGTTAATGGTAAGGATTCCAGTCAACAACAGGCTATTAGTAGTTAAGTTTTGGGGAAGCCAAAACTTACATGAGAATTTTCAACTGCAGAGGGTTGGGGGGGGGTGGTCAGTGCCCCATAATCCCTGTGTTGTTCAAGGATCAACTATATATAATAAAATAAATAAGCAAAAGTCTTTTTCTATATTAGGATTCTATGTAAGATTTGGTTTTACAAAAAAAACAAATTATGCTTCTTAAAAACTCAAAACCTAGTAAAAGTGCTTTTATTAATTTTCTGTTTTTTCCTATCAGTAAATAAAATGAAAACATAAGAACAATATGTAATAAAGAGCATGATTGTAAGTAGGCAGTTTTGGGAGAAGTTTTATTATTTGCCAGATATGGTCAGCTTTTGTTTGAAAAGTGGTCTATTAATTCAAGAAAAAAATAGTGTTTTTAAATATCACAAATGATTATTTTGACCTTAGGTTCCTCAAAGAAAGACACAATCAGGTTGCTTTGATTTGGATTCTTCATTACTGCATCTGAAAAGCTTATCATCTCAAAGGTATTTAAAATTCATTTGTACTTGTCACTTAGATATGTCAGAAATTATGTTCTGTGCTTTCCACAGAGAAAAATCCCATATATTTTTAGATTCCCTCTGGAAATCTTCTTGTAACTCATAAAATATTAAACTGTGATTCCTGAAGTTACAGGGCAAACCACACCAAAAAGACATGTATTAGAGGTGGTGGAGGATGTCATAGTTAATCAATAACCCACTATTGGAAATGAGCAGTAATTTTAACAGTTAACGTAATAAACACAGCCTACATAAAAAAAGTAAATAAAGTTCGTTTGTATTTGTGAAATAATATTACACTAATTTCTAGTCTTGTACAATAAATACTTACTCTAAAATCACAATTTTAACAGGAGTATTATTTTCTAGTTGGTTATTTTAAATATTATTTCACACACAATGATTAATGATGAAGAAGGGAGAAAATAAGAAAATGAGTAGCTTGAGTAGCTACTATATATCCGTCATCATAATAAACACATTGGTTTTAACTCTTAAGTAAGTTTGATTATTTCTGGTCATTTGCCTCCTCCTTCGCCTTACACTTCTTTGCGAAAAAGCCTTGGAAGTGTGTTCCATGTTGACAAGTAATACTCTCATTATTTTCTTTAGTCACATAATTTTGCCTTTGTATTCTCATTTTTAACTGAAAATGAACACTGATAAAAAACTGTGTTATGTATTTCTAGTAGATGCCACTATGTGATATGTTATAAATTATTTCTTAAAACTTTCTAGGATATTACTTATATTTTTTTGTCAAATATTATAACAAAGATCATAAAATCAAACCAGAATTTTAAACAAAATATCTCATATCTTAAAATTTGGTAGGATTAATTTTTTATCTTATAGCTTAAGTAAAATTAAAATTGATCAAATTCTCCTACTTTAATTTTGTACAAAAAGTCAGAAAATATTGTGCTTAATATGTTCATTTGCTGATTTTCTTTTTAATAGTCCTCGGCCATGTTTAAACATTGAAGATGATCCAGATATTCACGAAAAACCATTTCTGAGTTCTAGTGCTCCACCTCTAACAAGCCTTAGTCTCTTAGGAAATTTTGAGGTAATGTTTTTCAAAATTATTTTAAGAGTTGGCATTTTTTTTACCTTAGATCTAGGGTGTTATTTATGTCATTTGTTTGTGAAAGGGAAATAAATAAATGAATTGTATTTTTCAAATCCTTGAAATCACCTTCTTTCCTTTGCTTTTTCCTTTTCCCCTTCCTTTTTGTAAGAAGCAAAGTTAGAATTGTTGATAGTGACATCCTAGAACTGGTACTTTGTAGGAACGATTGAGAACTTGGTAAAGTGGAGAGAAGTGTCCATTAATCTAGCTAGAAAAGGGACTTAACCACACCTCACATGGTGGTACTGGCTCTAAAACTCAGGTAGGAGGTGGTGGGCTGATAACAGCCCCTTCACGATGAAGAGGTTGACTTACAAAATCAAACGGTTCTTTGAACTATATTTGCAACTTTGTTATAAAATAACAAAATATATAAAATAACTTTGTTATAAAATAAGATTATTTTTAAAAAATTGAATGGGTAAAGGTTTCCAATAATGTGCTATTTTATTTAATAAGAATATTTCTACTTAGGATCAACTGTATTACGGGATTAGTTATCCTTAATTAGAAAACAATCTTAAATATTGAAACTAATGTAATATTATGTGCCAAATGCACATCAATTAAAAAAAAGAGAAAGAAGAACAGCCTTAAACGTGAACCTGTAAATGGGGTTTTAAGGATGATTTTAATTGGTGAGCTTTTATGGGAAAATAATTTAAAATTTGTAGTTTTAATAGCTTCATTGGAATTTTGGTGGTTTAATATGTTAAGAGTATGCTGTCTTTAAAACTAAATTTTAATTTTTAGGCTATCTTCCAAAGTTTTAAAATGAAAAGACTTATGGTGAATTGATTTCTTTTCCATGTCACTTTCAAGGTATCACTTCAGAGATGTTGAACTCTGTATTCTCTGTCATTATTTTAAAATTGCATAAGGCTACTGTGAGTGTCAGATGTTCTGCAACCTTTGTTTTACAAGAAAATTTGTGAGGGGGGATAAAGAGCATCTGATATGTGAAAACCTTAGGGAAGATGGTTAAAAGATCAGTACACTGGAATGTACTTGTGCAGATATGCATACATTTTCACTTGACTTCAGTAGAAAAATACAGAGAGGTTCTGAGACTGTCCAGCTCACAGGTCCTTTTTAATTTATACAAGTCCTGTGTTTCAAGAGTTCATTCCTTTTTATTGCCACAATATGGATATAGCACAATTTGTTTATTCATGTACATCACTCTAGACCTTTGGGTTCTTTGTTTCCAGTTTTGGCCTATTACACATGAAACTGCTGTGAGGGTACCTGGGTGGCTCCAGTTGCTTAAGCATCTGACTCTTGATTTCAGCTCAGATCATGGTCTCAGGGTCGTGCGATTGAGCCCTGCATGGATCCTGCTTAAGATTCTCTCTCTCCCTTTCCCACTGCTCTCCACTTCACCCCACTCCACACATTGGTGCATTCTCTCTAAAAAAAAAAAATAAAAATAAAAATAAAGCTGCTGTGAATATCGTGACCTGAGCCAAAGGCAGATGCTTAACTGAATGAGCCACCCAGGCACCTTGATTTTGTCCAATTTATTATTTTCTTTTATGGATCTTGATTTTGATGTTGTATCTGAAAAATTTTTTCCTAGGGGTCCCTGGGTGGCTCAGTGGGTTAAAGCCTCTGCTCTCAGCTCAGGTCATGATCCCAGGACTCTCTGCCTGCCTCTCTGCCTACTTGTGATCTCTGTCTGTCAAATAAATAAATAAAATCTTTAAAAAAAAAAAAAAACAAAACTTTTCCTAACCCAGGTTTTCTCAACCTTGGCACAATTGATATGTGAGCCATATAATTCTTTGTTATGTGATCTGTTTTAAGCATCGTAGGATATTTAGCAGAATCCTTGGCCTCTAACCATTACAGTCCAGTACCACTGTCTGCCCCTCCCTCCAGTTGTAGCAGGTAAAAAAAAAAGTCTCTGACAGTGACTGACATACGTCCCTGGTTGAGAACTACTTACCTAATCCAAAGTCAGGAAACTTTTTTTCTAGACATCTTATTGTTTCAGCTTTTGCATCTAGTTCTCTGATCCATTTTGAGTTAATATTTATATATGACACAAAGTTTATAATCAACTGTTTGATTTTTATGAACAATGTCATAAATGTTCATAATGAATGTCATATTATTCTAGTCTTGACATGAATTAATTTGAGTTGTCTAACATGTTATCCTTTCTCAAAATCGCTGTCACCATTCTAGTTTCTTTCACCTTCTTCATGTAAATTTTAGAGTTAGCTTATCTATTTCTACAAAACAGTATGCTGAGATTTTGTTTGGATTGCATTGATATAGATCAGTACATGGAAAATTGACATCTTAAGAATATTAAATCTTTTTTAAAAAGATTTTATTTTTTTTAGCTTTTAAAATTTTTTATCTTTTTGAAGATTTTATTTATTTATTTGACAGAGAGACACAGCGAGAGAGGGAACATAAGCAGGAGGAGTGGGGAGAGGGAGAAGCAGGCTTCCGGCAGAGCAGGGAGCCCAATGCAGGGCTCAATCCCAGGACCCTGGGATCATGACCTGAGCCGAAGGCAAAAGCTTAATGACTGAACCACCCACGCGCCCCTGAGATTCTATTTTTAGGTAACCTCTACACCTAGTGTGGGGCTCAGACTTATAACCCTGAGGTCAAGAGTTGCATGTTCTACCAACTGAGCCAGCCAGGTACCCCAGAATATTAAATCTTTTCATATCTGAATATAGTGTATCTCTGCATTCATTTAGCTGTTCTTTTTCATTGATTTTTTAAAATTTAAAAATTTTATTTTTTTCATTGATTTTTTTTTTTGTAATTTTCAGCATGCATATATCTTAAACATACTTTTGTAGATTTATATCTAACTAATCCATGTTTTCAGGTGATATTATAAATTTTACTTAAAAGGTTTTTAATTTTCAGGTTCCTGCATGGTGCAGTTGATTGTCCAACTCTTGATTTTGGCTCAGGCTGAGGTCTCAGGGGTCGTGGGATTGAGACCCAAGACCCTCGTTGGGCTTTACACTCAGCACATAGCCTGCTTAAGATTCTCTTCTCTCTCTGCCATCTTCCTCCCCCTGGTGCATGCTCTCTTTCCCCTCTCTAAAAAAAAATTTTTTTTAAAGAAAGTTTTCTAACTTTCAGTCCTTCATTGCTGTATATTAAAATACAAGTGATTGAGTGTGTGTGTGTGTGTGTGTGTGTGTGTGTGTGTGTGTGTGTGTGTAATTGCCTATGACCTTGCTCAGTTTATTGATTTTATTGATTTTGTTGTTGTTCTTTGGGGTTTTTTTACATAGATACTCATATCTTCTACAAATTGGGTCAGTTTTATTTCTTACTTTGTAATCCATACCTGTATTTCCTTTTCTTGTTTTGCACTGAGAAGGGTCTAGCATGCGTTGCTAATATATTAAAGTCATTAAAAGCTGAATAAAGTCAGAAACTAATATAGGCCATTGGCCTTATCTATAATAATTTTTTATGTGTTCTTCCTATGAAAATGTTACCCATCTTTAGATTTATTTTATTTAGGAGGTATTTTTTTAAGATTTTTTTTTAAGATTTTATTTATTTGACAGAGATCACAGGTAGGCAGAGCAGCAGGCAGAGAGAGAGGGGGAAGCAGGCCCCCAGCCGAGCAGAGAGCCCGATGCGGGCTCAATCCCAGGACCCTGGGATCATGACCTGAGCCGAAGGCAGAGGCTTTAACCCACTGAGCCACCCAGGTGCCCCTAGGAAATATTTTTGAGTAACTACCATGTGTTGTGCTGTATGCTAGGAGTACAAAGCTAGATAACATTCCTGCCTTATAGATATTACAGTCAACTGAATATGTAAGTGATTTATAAACTCAAGTAATTATCATTGTAAAAGAAATTAACTCAGTCCTCCCATATCCACTCTGTGCTAAAGGAACTGAGGAAAGCTTTACTGAGGAACTGTCACTTGAGCTTAGTTACAAAAGATAAGTAGGAATTTGTCAAGTAAATTTGCATGAGGAGTGGGAAGGGATTTTAGACAGGGAAACTACATTTGCGAAAGTAGCAACAGAATATGATGATGTTGGAAATCAACAGCTTGACTTGGAGCATGATACTCTGTGCAAGTGGGGAGAGAGGAGTCAAGAAACCTAGGGTAGGACTTACATGCCATGCTAGGAAGATTTGACTTGATCTAATAGCAGGAAGCATGAAGTTTTGTCTAGTAGGTGATAATACCTTTTGTTTGTTTGTTTGTTTGTAGAAAAACAATTCTGCCCATAATACAAAGGATACACTAGAGTAGGAAGGACTTAATTAGAAGATGTACTTGTTCAGAGGAGAGGTTGTGAGGGTCTGAGCTATGTTAATGGTGGTAGGGAAGAGAGTTGCAGCCATGAGACTGAGTGGTCAAATCACAGAATATGCATTGGATTGATTGCAGGGCAGAAGGGAGGTTAGAAGCTTGGTTATAACATAGGTCTTTTGTTGTTAGCTTTTTAATTGGGAATTTCAGAATTGCTAATGTCACAGTTTGAACTTTACAGTACACAAACTATCAGGCTCGTGATGGCTTCCAGTGTTCCTTTTTTCCCAGACAACTACTGAATCAAAGATATGGTACTCACATTTCATGATAAATGTGTATACGTATGATATATGTATATAAATGAGAGCTTGTGAAAAGTTTAAAATGTTTTTCATACCTAGCAAGATAGCACTAAATTGTTAAAAGTGATTTTCAGCAAGTGAGCTTGAAAGAAATGAAAAAAAAGAAACTTCTCTATTTGTATTTCTGGGTTTCTGGGGGGGTGAGATTTATTTATTTACTTATTTACTTATTTATTTGAGAGAGAGAGCATGAGCAGAGGGATAGAAAATCTCAAGCTGACTTGACATGGGGCTTGATCTCACAAACATGAGATCATAACCTGGGCTGGAACTAAGAGTTGGAAGTTTAACCTACTGCACCACCAAGACACCGCTTTATTTCTGTGCTTTTAAGTTTTTCTCCAATGTTAAAGACAAGTTAAACTATAAAACATATGTCACATATAATGTTATTTTTTAAAGAAGGAATTATTTTTCAGTTGAAGTTTCAGGTGCTTGGCTCTCTTTGCATATGACTATTAACAAGATTTATTTATTTTTTTAAAAGATTTTATTTATTTATTTGACAGATCACAAGTAGGCAGAGAGGCAGGCAGAGAGAGAGGGGGAAGCAGGCTCCCCGCTGAGCGGAGAGCCCGATGCGGGGCTCGATCCCAGGACTCTGGGATCATGACCTGGGCCGAAGGCAGAGGCTTTAACCCACTGAGCCACCCAGGCGCCCCTATTAACAAGATTTAAAGTGCTTCTCTATGGCCAGTACCTTGTGGATAGGCTCTCTGAAGAGTACAAAAATTTCTGATATTATACCTTCTCTGTTAGAACATATTTTTATTTACAGAGATTAAGAATAACATATTAAACAATTAGGTTTAACTAACGGTGAAGTTTAAGGATAGTTAAGTGTGAGTTGGAATAGTGAGAGGCGGCCAAACTTCATACAATGGTAGAAGATTTATGGGGGACAAGTTGATGACAGGTCTGATAAACGTATGAAGTGAGGACGTGGAAATGTTAGCCACCTTATTTGTTTGTTCTATGTTTGATTTGTCATTCTTTTCTTTTTAAGTAGGCTTCAGGAGCACCTGGGTGGCTGTTGGTTAAGTGGCTGCCTTCAGCTCAGGTAGTGATCTTAGCATCCTGGGATGGAGCCCTGCATTGGGCTCCCTGCTCAGCAGGGAGTCACTTCTGTCTCTGCCCCTTCCCCCTGCTCCTGTGCTCTCTCTCTCTGTCTCTCTTTCAAATAAATAAAAATAAAATCTTAAAAAAAAAAGTAATAACGTAGGTTTCATGCCCAGCATGAAGCCCAGTGTAGGGCTTGAACTCATGACCCTGAGATCAAGAGCTGAGCTGAGCTTATGAGTGGGATATTTAATGGACTGAGCCACCAAGGTGCTCCTATTTAATTTGATTTTAATTTCAGTGTAATAAACAATGTAATGTTATGTTTTCTAATTGCTGTGACTAGGACTTCCAGTACTATGTTGAGTAAAAGTGAAAGTGAACATCCTTTTCTTCTGACCTTGGGGGATTTCCCCTTTAAGTATGGTGTTCACTGTGGGGTTTTCATAGATAGCCTTTATTATGTTGAGGTATGGTCCCTCTAACCCTACTTTGTTGAGGGCCTTTATTATGAATGGATGTTTTTCTGTGTCTATTGAAATGGTCCTATGGTTTTTATCTTTCTCTTATTGAAGTTATGCATCACATTAAAATCATCACATGATTTGCAAGTATTAAAACCACCTTTGCATCCCTGGAATAAATCTACTTGATTGTGGTGAATGATATTTTTTAATGTGTTGTTGGATTCTGTTTGAGTAGCAACCATATTTTCTTAGTGCCAGAAAGCGTGATAATATATTTCTTTAAATGAAAAACAGACAAAAAACAGGATGTGTGTCAACTTCTAAAATTTATTTCTTAAAAATTTTGTCTTCCAGGAATCTGTCTTAAACTATCGGTTAGACCCTCTTGGCATTGTTGATGGTTTCACTGCCGAGGTAGGGGCAAGTGGTGTTTTCTGCCCCACACATTTGACTCTTCCCGTTGAAGTGTCATTCTACAGTGTTTCAGATGATAATGCTCCCTCTCCTTATATGGCAAGTATTTTAAAAATTATCTTTGTCTGCTAAAATCAACCAGTTTAATGACAAATGTCTTTAAAGAGATTTAAGACTGCTTTCTCGTAATGCTTGAAATAAAGCATTTCCTAAGAGAAAACTAAAGGCTGAATGAGACTAAAATACCAGGGTGTTACCTCACAATCATTGAATACTCCATCAAAAACTAATGATGTACTACTATATGTTGGCTAACTGAACATAATTTTTAAATAAAATGTTACCTCACAACTTCTTTTTCAGCTAGCTCTAACAACAAATTTCCTCTTTTGCATTTGAGGCTCTGCTGAAAATTTACTTGTTTTTATGTGATTTGAAAAAATGAAAAACTATTAGTGACACTATAATTTCATATCTTGCTGAGTTCCCACAAATTCTCAAGTGCTTACTGTGCACCCTGGTCCCACAAGTGTTGCCTTCCCACGTGATCCTCATCTCAGGAAGATTTAGTTAACGATTTGGTGAAGTAAGTCTTCTGTGAGACCCTTTTACCCCCTTTCTCCTATTTGTTTTGAGACCATTTTTTTCTAATCCTAGAGTTGATTTCTAATCCTAGCTATTTCTGTTTCCATACGTATGTTCTAACGGGGAGAGTAAGATAACCAAGGGTAATTTAGAGCAGTTTTGAGCCTTATGATCTTATGATTTCATCTTTATTGTTTTTGTTTTTGATTACTTGAGGATAAAACAAGCCTTCAACTGCAAAAATGAGACAGGGCCCAAGTGTATGTTTAGTTTCAGCACTTTACAAAAGACAAAGGTGGAGAGGAGACTAACAGTGCAAGTCTGTAAGAAGTTTACAGTAGTGGTATCAAATGGGGAGTCAGATCTGTGTTTTCATGTTAGGTCTTACTTTGCTGTATACAAATACAAACTGCTGTAGTTACAGAAGTTTACAGCTCCGGCCTTGCTGCTTGAATTTCCTAGCTTATCACATGACCCTATTGATTCCTCTCCTAATATCCCTCTCCCCAACCTTCTAGATTGTCAAGGACTAAAAGCTGTAAAAAGGGAATTCTGTGCAATTAAGAAACAACAGAGGAAATGAAATTATACATTTTGGGGGACCTAAATATAGCCTGTTCATTATTGGTCCAGTTCGCTCAAGGAAAATTATTTTAGCCTTACTGCATTCTAAGGGTGAATTTTTTTTTTTTAAAGATTTTATTTATTTATTTGAGAGCGAGCAAATGAAAGAGAGCATGAGCAGGGGAAGAGCAGAAGGAGAGAGAGAAGCAGACTCTACACTGAATAGGGAGCTTGACACTGGGCTCAATTCTAGGACTCTGGGACCTTGACCTGATCCGAAAACAGGTGCTCAACTGACTGAGCCACCCAGGTGTCCCTGAAAATTTTTATTTAAGAGCATGACCAGTATTTCATACTTTTATTTAAAAACAACATTGTGGTATCTGCTCATTTATTCAGGTTTTCTTTCCCCAATAACATTTACAATTATGGATCATAGTCATAAAGATGCACAACAGTAACTATTATCTAAAACAAAGACCCAGGGGTGCCTGGGTGGCTCACTTGGTTAAGCGTCTGCCTTTGGCTCAGATCATGATCCTAGCATCCTGGGATCGAGCCCCACATTAGGCTCCTGGCTCAGCAGGGAGTCTGCTTCTCCCTCTCCCTCTGCATCTCCCCTTGCTCGTGCTCGCTCGCTCATCACTCTCTCTCTGTATCTTTCTGTCTCAAATAAATAAATAAAATCCTTTAAAAAAATAAAAAATAAAACAAAGACCCATTCCTTCACAGACCTGCCCAGTTATCACAAAGCCACCTGATATTCATTTACCATGGAAAGATGTATCTACTTTTCCAGTATAATTTAGAAAAAATAACAGCTAATTTTGGATAACTAGTAACATGGAAAGTACAACTGATGTAAGTTCAGTATCAGAATAAATGTATCATTCTGGAGTGCTTACAATATTAAAATAGGACTATAAAAGGTACCCATTTTACTTTACCAGGATAAAAGGTACCCGTTTTACTTTACCAGGACATCAATAAATCTCATCAGTTTCACATATTCTATTGACGTTTAGTAATACAGAATGGAAATGTAAGGCCTACAATATTGTAATCTGTCATAATGTACAAAGTCCCCAGTGACTGTTAGGATGACTTAGAAACAAGATAAAAGAGCAAATGGCTAGAAATCAGCTCAAGTAAATATCTTTGAGTGAAATTTACAAGCAAGAGAGAATTTGAACTCTGCTTTTAAAAAGCAGACCAGCATTAATCTTTGATTTTAGCTGACATCTAAAACACATAGAATTAAGAGATACAAGGTTTTGTCACTTTGTCTCCAGAAAGTACACACAAATGATTACAACTTTTGATATGGAAAGGGTATGAATCAGTTTATTGAGTTGGCTTAGTCTGTCCTTTCAGAATCCCTGACTTGCTGTTCTCAGATAATATTCTTCAGTAAACTTCCCATTGTGTAATTAAATTTTTTCTAGGTTATTTTGTTCATTTGGAATGGGTTCCTTTTGTAAATGACCTAGTTCAAATCTTAGACCACAAATCTTTCCTACTAAATAAAATTAATCTTGTTTCTTCTACATTTTGGTAGTTTAGTGTATTTTCAAAGGATTGATCACATTTTGACAAGATAGTATATATCACAGACCAGCAGAACTGAGACACCTTGGGATCTCTCATCACAAATAACACAGATGACTCATAAACATACAATTTGGCACAAGAACTGAAAATTCTGTCTTTGTGGTATAGAAGTGGTACAGGATTTTTTCATTAAATAATCACTTAAAGATTAGCTCAAAGCCACATAATCTCTCTCCAATTTGGGCATCAGTGGTAAAAATGTTATCCAACTGCTACATAACAATATTTCACTGTTTAGAAACTACTGAATGGTGGAACCAGGTAAAATGTTTTAAGGAATGTATGCCAGTGGTAAATTCATGGTATGACTTCAATTATCATCATATTAACAGGACCATATATATTATTTTTTTGTATTTGTAATTCACCAAATTAAGATAAACTTTTCGTTTTACTTATTGCGTAGTCTCTATAGCAGAGTAATTTGAGGAGTTTTTGTGTGTGATTTTGACCCAACTCAGTTTACTTTAACCTTCCTATTCCATTCTATAATGCCAGAAAAAAATGTATTTTTCTTCTTTATGTTAAACACTATAATTTTTTATAGGTAGATATATTAATATGGTGACCAACTAAAATAATGAAATTATTAAAATATAACAAATAATAAATTAGTAATAATACTAATGAAATTCCACGTAGTTTCCCAATTTGTATCTAAAATTCCTAATTTATGAATGCCCCTATTGGTCTTATATTGCTTAGAAATAGTTGTAAAGTGTAGGCATATACTATAAGGTTTTAAAAATATACATACTGTCTTTATAAATTGATATAGTTACTGTTACCATGTTCTGAAAGCTATTAAAGTTAATAAAGGAATAAAGCTATTAAAGGAAATAAATATAGTCCTTTTTTTTTTTTTTTTTTTTTTTTTTTAAGGATTTTATTTATTTATTTGAGAGAGAGAGCATGAGAAGGAGGAGGGTCAGAGGGAGAAGCAGACTCCCCTGCTGAGCAGGGAGCCTGATACGGGACTCCATCCTGGGACTCCAGGATCATGACCTGAGCTGAAGGGAGTTGCTTAACCAACTGACCCACCCAGGCGCCCCTAAATATAGTCTTTATTGTAGTTTTTGCCCCATCAGTTCTCTTAAATGTATTTAGGGGAAGGTAGCAAGGAAAATGGTAATGTGTTGCCTATATCAATGTGATTATAAAGATAGCTATTATTTGGTTATATTCTACTTTTTTTTTCTGGAACTAGGAAGAAGAGGGGCATTATATACCATAGCTTTTTTTCACATAAACCAGATTGTAAGAGAGAAATTGTTTAAAGCTTCATTACTGCTTTGATTAGGAATGCAGTTTGTTGATAGGCTTTTTTTCATGCTTTAAATGACCATGTGGTAAATCAGATTAGACAAGAACAACCTATGTCCTTTCAGTGACCATTTCCACGAATATTTCCTAATATTAATGTGTTAATTTAATAGTCTGAGGTTGGCACTTGACTCACATAGCAGAGTCTGGCCCTCCTTTATATGTTTGCATGCTTTTTTCACCCTCCAACCCTGGTCTGTCTTACAAATAACAGAGATGTTTGATGGGACAGTCCTGTTTTATATTTACTTCTACTGAAGTTCGACATGTTTTGGCATGTACAATATAAAATGTTGGCATATGAAATGTAGAACATGCAATTATTCTATTTAACTACTTGAAACTGTTACCCCAGTTAAATGAATCAGCCTTCCTTTCTGAAAGCTATCTAAGAATTAAATATCACAATTAACCACCTGTAGTCATTTGGTCATCTTGCCTATCTAGAAACTTTCACATGTGCAATTCTAGCTTTCCTTGTTTTAATTTATGCTTGTTTGCTGTCATTTGGGCTTCTGTAGTGACTAGAACATGCTTCTCAGAAAACTACTTAATATAGAATGGTAGTACATATGTACATATGATATCATCTGGGGGATCTTAAAATACAGCTTTGATTTGGTAGGTCTAGGGAGAATCATAAATTGTACATTTCTAAGACATTTACAGATGAGTCTGTTGATGCTGGTCTGTCTGTACAGTCAGAAATCCATATATTAATTTAACTCACCGACTGAAAAATTAACTTCACTGTTGGCTAAGACTTAGACCCCTTTGCATTCCTGACTTCTTACATGTCCAAAGAACAGTAAACTGGTTTCTTCTTCATTTCCATCCTCCCGTGTGATAACAAGGGAATAATCCCATCTTCTCCCTTATTTCCTTTTCAGTCAAGGAGCTTCTTATTTCTGTATTTTATATCTTACTATAAATTTCAAGCAGTGTAGTGTTATATATTATTCATTGCAACATCTCCAGGAAGAACAGTAATCCTTTCTGGACCCTCACTGTTCCATACTCCGAATGTACCTATCGATGGGAATATTTTTGCATACAAGTAAAATTATAAAATGTTAGTAATTACATGGTTTATTATTTTTAGTCTTTTATTTACATGTGCATCAGTTTGTACTCAATTTGTCTTCTTTTATTTCAAGGGTGTGATTACTTTAGAGTCCCTTGGTAAAAGGGGTTATCGAGTACCTCCTTCAGGAACAATACAAGTGGTATGTGTTTTATAGCCTACAATTGCAATAATCATTCTCTCACATACATATAGAACTTAGCCCTTTCTCCTGCTACTGCTGCTGCAACAACTTTGGTAAGTAACAGTGGGGCTGCAGCTTTCTTTGGAGTTTCCCTGCTCTGCCCCAGGAATGGCCATGTGGGGACCTTCATAAAAGGAAAGCATAAATAATCTAATGAAGGTGAATGCTTTAGAAAAATAGTATATGCCAGTTTACATAACTTGAATAGAGCTATTTTCAGTGTAATTAGAACTAACATTACTAGTGCCTTCAATTTAATATAATTAGCCAGACTGAGATTGACCCATCTCAAAGAAGACCTCAACTATTAGTATTGCTTTGTCAGGAAACCTTGGAAAACAAAATTATATGATCCCTAGTGTAATAATTTCGAAGTTAATCTGCTAAGATGGTTACACAAAGTAGAAATGTAGTCTGACAAATATGAGTGCAGAGAAGGCACCCTCTCTTTTGGTCTAGGTGTTGATCTAGTTTTGGCTCAGGAAAATTCCTCTAGCCCAGAGCAATCATTCATCATTGGTCTTGCATTCTCAGAAGACTTATTTGTTATCAAGGTCAGTTTGTGATTGAGTTCATCTCCAAGTCAGACACAGGATAATCCTGCAGGCCCAGAAGTCTATTTTCCAAAGCTGGCGCTTGCAGACTAAAAAGAATCTAATTGATATTTGTTGGTTATAACTCAATAGAGCTGAAATTTAAAAAGGAAAAAAAACCTAGCTAAGTTCCTTACACTCAGGATCTGGTCTAATTCAGTAAGCCTTCTTATTGATGTCTTTTGGCCTCAATGTGATCAGTTTTTCACCAGACCACTTTTACTCATCACCATTGTTCAAATACATTTATTTCCTGTCTCACAGGGATGAAACACAGTACTATGTAATACGTATGTGTGCATATAATGCAGTATATACACATATATAAATTTTACCAAGAAAGCATCACTGCATATTAAAGTAATACTTCTATGTTAAATGCATTTCTTGAACTTAAATGAGTGATAATCTTCTCGTTCTCTCACCTCTGGCTATGTAGTTCGTGTGACAGAGTAGGTCACTGGAAAGCTAGCTATCAGCTGTCATAATAATGACCCAGAGGCAGCATATTCATACCTCTTGTTTGAGAACAGCCAACTTTTAAAATGATTAATTTTAAATCTGAAACTTAGGTATGTCTTTCATTCCTTATATAGTTTAATTATGTATAAACATGGTTTGAACTCCTGGCTTGCTAGTTGTTGTGGTTCTTGAATGTATTAGCCTTAATCTTAAGACTCACTAGATTTCAAAAGTTGGATCATAATATTGATATATTTCTCATTTTGATTCAGTGAGTGATGTCCAGTGCCACGGATGAGCTTCTGAAAGCATGGGCACCAAGTTACCTATTGATGTGTTGGTAATTTGGTTAAAGTCAGATCAGCAGCTTGGGATCTTGTTTAAAAATTAGTACTTTAAAAAAAATAATATTCCTTCAATTATTAATAGCCATGTATCAGTTGAATTTAATTCAGTCTTCACTAAGGATACGTATTTTGGTCTATTATGGTATTGGTGATTTTTTAAAAGTTTAGTGTCACTACAGTTTTTGCAATGAATCCAACTGTAAGAACATGAAGTATTATTCATCCTACTTTGTAACTAATAATAATGAACTTTATTTTCTAAACTCAGAAAAATTTCCAAATAAGGAAATTTCTCTTTTTTGAGAACACATTTTTAATTTTATATAACTATATGTACCTAATATACCAAAAAGTCTAGTTTTACCCAGCTATTTTAAATTTTTCTATTTACTCACTATTAAAAATGTAAGGAAAATTAATATTCTGAGTATTTCACAGTTGACACACTTTAATAAAGCTAATATTTGAAATAAGTGAACTGGAATGTTTTAATCCAGTAAGGGTGTATTGTGCTTACTTTAGTGGAAGCATTTCTTAAAATCTGAACAAAGAGTAAAAGCTATGTATTGTCTAATATGAAATTTGTGACTAAAAATTTTGATTTGTTACAGGATTTTGTATTATTGGGAAATAAAAAATTGAAACTTTTTTTAAAAAATTGAATATTACTTCATAAACTTTTAAGATGTTATTAACTTTAGTTTCCAAAACTGAATTATATCCACTGGAATTAATTTATAAAAAAACTATTTTATTATTGGCACAATCATTTTGCATCAAATCAACAAACCACTTTTTAAAGAATAATTTTTATGTTGTTTCTTCAGACCTTATTTAATCCTAATAAGACTGTGGTGAAGATGTTTGTTGTGATATATGACTTACGAGATATGCCAGCCAATCATCAGACATTCCTTCGACAAAGAACTTTTTCTGTACCTGTTAAACAAGAAATGAAGAGAACTGTTAATAAAGAAAACATCCGACATGCAGAAGAACGGTTATTACGCTACCTCATACATCTGAGGTAATGTTTCAAATATATATGAAAGTACGTTACTAAAGAAGAACTTCAAAATTTTAGTTTAACACCTGTCACTCTGACTAGACCAGTGTCCTTTGGAATTTGCTTAATTTGGAAACTTTTCATATGCCAAGATGCAGAAAACACATAGCGTATCTTCCTGCAGTCATTGTTACTTGTTGAATTAGGAGAGTTTTCATTTATAGCAATGTAATGTAAAATATTTTATATCAAAACAAATGCTCACCTATCTGGGGCAGTGAAACACATTTTTGAAACCAATAGAATTATTATATGAACTGCATATGCAGCTCTATATTTCCTAGTAGCCACATTAAAAAAAGTAGTAAGAGAGAGGAAATATGAATGTATTTTATTTAACTCAACATACCCAAGTGTTATAAACCCACATAGGGGCGCCTGGGTGGCTCAGTGGGTTAAGTCTCTGCCTTCGTTCAGGTCATGATCTCAGGGTCCTGGGATCGAGCCCCAAATCAGGCTCTCTGCTCAGCGGGGAGCCTGCTTGCTTCCTTCTCTCTGCCTGCCTCTCTGCCTGCTTGTGATCTCTCTCTCTCTGTCGGATAAATAAATAAAATCTTTTTAAAAAATTATGAATGAGGTATTTTTACATCCTTTTATTGTAAGTGTTTGAAATCAAATAGAGATTGATAGGAACAGCACAACTCGATGTGAAGTAGCCACATTTCAGGTGCTCAGTAGCCACATGTGGTTAGCGGCTACTGTATTGGGCAGGGAACGTTTTTAACTTTCATTCATTCATTTAACAAGTATTTATGTGTCAGGTATGCTCCTGGGCACTAGGGAAACAACAGTGTGAAAATCTCTGTTCTCAAAAAGAGTTTATATTCTAGTAATTCCATCAGAAGTACCTTTTCCTCTGACTTTTGCTACCCAGGTCACAGCACTAGGTTGTGAGAAGCTGTTTGCCCTTGAGGTCCAAGTTGCCAGTATTCTGGGACTAGGTTTTCTGCCCTTAAATCCTGGAGTGTAGCTGTCAGGCAATGAGCAAATCTATTGGTTAACAGAGAGCTGAATAGCCTTCCCCCCCCCCCGCCAAGATTTTATTTGTTTGACAGCACAAGCAGGGAGAGCAGTACGCAGAGGGAGAGGGAGAAGCTCTCTTAGCAGAGACCCCAACATGGGGCTGGATCCCAGGACCCTGGAATCATGACCTGAGCCAAAGGCCAATGCTTAACTGACTGAGCCACCCAGTTGCCCCTGAATAACCTTTTGTTTATAGCTCTGTTCTTAGTAATTTTCTGATGCTGTTCATAGTAAGTTCTCAGTCACATCAGCGAGAGTAATTCATTTTAGCCTAACTCCTTGCTCCAAAAGTTGCTATTCCTGAGAAGGAGGCACCTCTCATCCAGGGCCCAGGCAGAAGACCTTTAATCTGCTACTGATGGGGACTACCAGCTATCTTTCAATAGATCTACCTTGTGGTGGTCTAGAATGAATAAAGAGTTGTCCACTCAAGTCTCATACTTGAAAAAGTCTAGTACTGCTTAAATGGTACTTTTGCCTTGGGGTCTTCTGCCTGGTGTTCTGAATCCTGGGGACATGTTAAACTGGCTCAGTGTTTGTTTTTGGGGGAGAGGTGTGGTTTTTTTTTTTTTAAGATTTTATTTACTTAATCGACAGAGAGAGATCACAAGTAGGCAGAGATGCAGGCAGAGAGAGAGGAGGAAGCAGGCTCCCCGCTGAGCAGAGAGCCCGATGCGGGGCTCGATCCCAGGACCCTGAGATCATGACCCGAGATGAAGGCAGAGGCTTAACCCACAGAGCCACCCAGGCACCTCTGTGTTGTTTTTTTCTTTTAACATTTTATTTATTTGACAGACAGAGATCACAAGTAGCCAGAGAGGCAGGCAGAGAGAGAGAGAGGGAAGCAGGCTCCCTCCTGAGCAGAGATTCTGATATGGGGTTTGATCCCAGGACCCAAAGATCATGACAGAAGCTCAACCCCCTGAGCCACCCAGGTGCCTATGGCTCAATGTTTTTAAACCCAACTCTACACTACCTGTTATGAGCCTGATGGGAAGTGTTATAGATTGTGGAATAAAAATCTGAAAACAGACTTGGAAGACTTTAAAAAGAGAAATGGTATGAAATAGCAGACTGTAAGAATAGCTCTCCGCCCAATCTAGGATAAGATTCAACTCTCTACACTTCCATTTGATACCATTCCTCTTGAAGTGTCACCACCATAGCACTACCTAAGCAGCATTCACTAAAGTAAACATAAACCACCCCAGCCTTTATAATCCCCACATAGTGATCAGATACTTTAAATGCTGTAAAGAAACCTCTTTGGGAAGTATACCACATATGTATGAGTATGTTCTACTTGCTAAAGGTCTCAGTTTGCTCCTTCAGATTAAGAAGGTAAAAAAAACTTCAGGCAGAATGGAAGAGTAAGCTGACATTTGACTCACATACAACTGACCACCAGATGTTTCAGCTAATTTAGGAGTAAAATTCGGAAATCCATAGAGTATTTCTGCTATGCAAAGGGAAAATGAGAGAGATTAGCACTAAAGAGTGTGTTTGTATGCTTGACTAGCTTCCAGACAAGTTTATAGGACAAAAAAGACTCCAGCCCCTGTATTATGTCATAGACATTAGCAGGGTATCGACACAGTTCCATACACAGTTGTGATACCATTTTCATTTCACTGCAAACTTTTGTCTTTTTAATGATTGTTAGGCTTTATTTAGCTACTAGCCATTACTAATGATAGCAATAATTCCGCAATACTTGATTATTTTCTGTTGTGACTTTTCAAGTTTGGAATCCTTTTTAATGTACTCAAAATTGGGAGAGGGCAAGTTATGTGAAATGGATGTGACTAGAAGATGCTAGAACTGCAGAGCCCAAATGTCGTGTGATCGACTAATGTGAACTGAAACTTGACACTGTAGGTGAGGGAAGGTGCATGTGTTACGGTGTCAGGGATGAAAGTAGGATGGTATGGGAAACAAGCTTTACAGAAAGAAGCGCCTCTGATCTTAGGAGGAAAGGGAGTGTCGATTGTTCAGGTAGTGAATAATAAGGGAGAGACAACTTAACTAGCAGCACAAACTTTGGCAATAGGAGACTAAATAAATATCTTGTTAAAGAGTCATTCTTAATATTGTAGCAAGACTAATTCTTCCTGCTTTCAAAATTTAAATCCTCAAGTTTGTTTGTTTTAAAAACTCAGTGCCTGCAATGTTGCATCTTTCTGTTTGCTTGTCTGTATAGGTTCCAGAGTTCTAAATCTGGAAAGATCTACCTCCATAGAGATGTACGGCTCCTGTTCTCAAGAAAGTCAATGGAAGTTGATAGCGGTGCTGCGTATGAACTCAAATCTTACACTGAATCGCCAACAAACCCTCAGTTTTCACCAAGATGTTGATAAGGAGTGACAATTTAAAGTATTCGCTCAGTACCCAAGTTGGGAAGTAAAAATTAGCGTAGAACGGAGTGTACCAATTAACAACCAGGAGAGTGGATCCTCTCCTGTTATCCTGGACCAGTTTTTATTAAAGGATTCCTGGAATGAGATCCACATATTCCAAGTAGACTGGAAACACTCATGTCCTAATAATCCTTTTTGTACTGTTGAAACCACTTCATTGGACATGTTGCAATAGCAACCCCCCCCCCAGTTAGATTAGTGTTGACACATTTTATTTCTCAGTTATTTAATATTTAATGTTTTCCTTAATACTCAAGTGATGTTTGTCTCTAGTGTTCTAATGTAGCACAAATCCTATGTAAAATCATACTATGTATTTTTGACATTAATGTTGAAATCCAAAATATATGCACAAATCTTTAATTTTGTGTGATGTGTTTTAAGTACTATTCATTTAATTTATTGAAAATGAGAATGAAATGTTGAGCTTCTTTAACGCACTATGCAAGCATGTGTACTTTTTATATCTCTCAGCTCTAGTTTTTACCCCATCCAGGTTGCTGTAGTCCTTTAACATGCTGTTTTGGCAGTGCAATGTGGACTAAGCTGCTTCACATTCCCTTTGCAAGTTCAAATCATTATGCCCATTCATACTCCTTCTAGAACTCCTTATCCCTAAAACAGTTCTATTTTTCCTTAATTACTACTACAGAGGCTTTACATTAAATTGCTGTCCCATGCTAGATAACTTTTGCAAATTGTTAAAAAGAATATGTACTTTGAAAGTCAATTTAGTATTTATATTGTAAATATATGTAAAAAACAAAGAAATGTGTATTTGGCTTTTATTTTTAGATGAGACATTCATGTGATTGAGTGATTTCTGGTAGCCATCAGACAGTTTCCATTCTAGCTTTATAGCAGACAAGAGGAGAGGGAAGTTGTCTTGAGCTTCTTCCCCAAGGAAATTTACCACTTTTTAAAAAGTTTTTATTTATTTTGGAGAGAGAATAAGCAGGGAGGAAGGGGAGAAGGGAGGGCAGACCCCCTGCTGAGCAGGAAGCCCACTATTGCTCCATCCCAGTACACTGAGATCATGGCCTGAGCCAAAGGCAGATGCTTAACCGACTAAACCACCCAGGCGCCCCCAAATTTATCACTTTCTTGCTCAGGGTCACAATGGAAGGAAGGCATTTGGCAACTAGGAAAACTCCTAAGCAAGGGAACTTGGCTGAATGCAGCAAAAGCCCTCCCTCCATCCCCCTTAGAAAAGTGGTTTTAGATGTTTGTGCACTGACAGTGGACAATAGGAGATCAGACAACAAGGCACAGATAAAATACCAACAGGGCACCTGGGTGGCTCAGTTGGTTAAGCATCTGCCTATTGGTTTCAACACTGTTCATGATTTCATGAGGCTTAGGTCAGGATCTCATGGGTTGAGAGATTGAGCCCCTCATTGGGCCCTGTGCTCAGCAGGGAGTCTGAAGATTCTCTCCCTCTGCCTCTCCCCCCCACACATGCGCGCACATGCTCACTCGCTTTCAAATAAATCTTTAAAATAAAATACCAGCTAAGAGAAAAGGCTATTGGTATTCCATAAAGCTTAAAAAAAAAAAAAAATGTTGTCAATGGCACAAATTTGTGAAGATTTATTCTTAGTTTTCAGACCATGGAAGCAACATGGAATTAGGACCCAGAACATTTGGATTGTAGTCCCAGCTCTAATAGTATCTAATAGGACTGACTCCAGGAATTCTCTAAACTTTTTCTGGATCTGTGTGATTGAGAAAATGGGGTAAGAATATTGATAATATGCCTGCTTATATTCTGTCATCTGATTGTTGGAATCAGTATTCTAATATATGCATCTTGATTTCTTATACATTGACCTAAGTAAATATTGGTAATTCTATATAAAACCTGGAAAAAACACCAAGCATTTAAACCATCAAAATACCTTTTTAAAAATTACTATTGTTTCTTTGACCTCTCCAGTAATCCAAAAATTAGTGATGTATGTTGTATGCAGGTGCCTTTTTACGTGGATACCTCACTTTCTAGGATTATTTCTAATAACATGGTTTTCCATGTTTCTGAGCATTTTTTTCCTTTTGTAAGATTTATTTGAGAGAGTGTGTGTGTGTGTGTGTGTGCATGCGTGCACGTGCAGGAGGGGAAGAACAGAGGAAAAAGGGAAAAGCAGGCTCCCCGCTGAGAAGGGAGCCCCATGTGGGGCTCAATCCCAGGACCCTGGGATCATGACTTGAGCCAAAGGCAGATGCTTGATCAGCTGAGTCACTCGGGTTCCCCTTTATGGGCATTTTAAAGAAAATTTTAAGATGACTGAAACATCTGGGTGCATCCTGTGCTCTTGCTGCAAGTTTGTGCAAGGGAAACGTACTGAAATTTTGTCCCTCTTTTTAGGGCCTCTTATGCCTACATTGTTTTTTCCAATTGAGATATGGTCGCCCAGCACCTGTCTGCTCTCACTTGCCCTGGCACTATGTCTAACATAATAGTTGTTTTCCCACCCTTCTGTCACAAGCCAAGACTTAACCACACTTTCCTGCTTCTTCCTCTCCCTCTGAAACTTTCCCACCCCACTCCTAACCCTTATCCCCAACTTCTGCTCTCTCTCAAATAAAAATCTTAAAAAAATAAATAAAAAATAAAAAGATTCCCTCCTGCCATTTTCCCCCACCAGGACTTTGTCATTCCCAGAACAAAAGGAAAACCTTTCTCTTTCAAGGCTTCATTCTAAGGATTCCCACTCTTTGCTAATTAGTTTTGTGAATGAAGCAGTGACTCTTTTTCAAACTTAAAAGATTCATGCAATACATATTCATTATCATATTTTTTCACACTACTTAAATATGTAAAATAACTATGTAAGTCCCTTTCTCTGTTCACCCTTTCAACTATAACTTTATAGAGGTGGTCACTGTGAAATCTTGATATTTGACACTCCTTATGGTCTACTAGACCTAGGAATACAGTGTCAGTCTAGATGGGAAGAAGACTTTTCATCATGGTAGGAATTCATTCTCAATTCCTAAAATTATATATGCATTGGAATTGGCCCATTCTACTCCATCATGGATTATCTACGAGAAAGATATCCTCTCTAAAAATTTTTATTGTAGTAGTTTGTGAGATATGTGTTTTAAACTTGGACCCTGGGAGGAGGAAGAGAACATATGAATGCCTACTATGAATGTACCAGTCAATGTAAACAATTTATATGTTATTTAATACTTAAAGCCATACTGCAGAGAGTATAAATCTATTCTATAATGAAAGAAAAGGAAGCTTGAAGAGCTTGCCCAAGGTCTCACTGTCAGAAGACTCAGGATTCAAATCTGAGTTAAAGCTTAAGTCTTTTCCGTTCTACTACACTGGAATTTTGCCTCTTTCTTCATTCTTTTTCCACTAAAAATTACGGTCTAGCATAAAATATACATTCATCAGGGCACCTGAGTGGCTCAGTGGGTTAGGGCCTCTGCCTTCGGCTTGGGTCATGATCCCAGGGTCCTGGTATCGAGCCCCGCATCGGGCTCTCTGCTCAGCAGGAAGCCTGCTTTCTCCTCTCTCTCTCTCTCTCTCTCTGCCTGCCTCTCTGCCTACTTGTGATCTCTATCTGTCACAAATAAAATCTTTAAAAAAATAAAATATACTTTCATCAATATTCTTGGCAATAAAGTTTATAAGTTGTGCGTGATGAGTGAGATATATAAGGCAATGCCTATTGATCATTAGGGAAAAAAAGACTTAAAAAAAAAAAAGATTTGGGACTCCTGGGTGGCTCAGTCATTAAGCATCTGCCTTTGGCTCAGGTCGTGATATTAGGGTCCTGGGATCGAGCTTTGCAGTGGGCTTCCCGCTCGGCAGGAAGACTGCTTCTCCATCTCCCACTCCCCTTGCTTGTGTTCCTTCTCTTGCTGTCTCTCTCTGTCAAATAAATAAATAAAATCTTTTTAAAAAAAGGACTTTAGGAAGAAATGTCCTAAAGCTACTCAGAGGCCATTCAACTTAGTATACAGTCAGAAAGCATGCAAATAAAGTTGAGGGAAATTTTAGAAACACATTGTGGTAAATATTTTAAGAGATTTTATTTTTGAGAGGGAGAGAGCAGGTTGGGGAGTTGGAGGAGTAGAGGGAAAGGGAGAGAGAATCTCAAGCAGCCTCCATGCTGAGTGAGCAGTGGAGAGCCCGATGTGGGGCTCAATCCCACAACCCCAAAATCAAGAGTCAGATGCCCAAACAACTGAGCCACCCAGGCACCTCATTTTAAGAAATTTTAAAGGTTTAAAGTTTGTAGTGTCTCTTTCAGACCCCACCATTCATCATTCTTTTCAACTCATTCAAAATTTTCCTGTTTGTACTTTTAATTCATATAAAGAACTGTCATCTTAGTCCTTAGAGAAGTGGCATCCACCAATTTCTAGGTTTCATTTCTGACACTGAAGTTTTTGAAACTGCTCTCTCTTTACAGTTAACTGACCTTACTCAGGTAATGTTTGTTCCCTGGGATTAGCTCACAGAAGTCACCATTTATATTCAGGGTTTTGGCTTTCTTTATCTCACTTGGCTTCCTGAGTTGATCTTCCAGACTCTTCCTCTATCTTCCTTTCATAAATGTATTCTGTTCTTGGGGTGCCTGGCTGGCTCAATCGGTGGAGTGTGCAACTCTTGATATTGGGGTTGTGAGTTTGAGCCCCACATTGGGTATAGAGATTACTTTAAAATATTTTTAAAAAGTAAGCTGGTGCCACTGCCACTGCAACTAAGATGGCCAGGAGACTCAGTCTTCCTCAGTGATGCTTGGATCAGGGAGCCAGTGCTGGTTGCGTACTTCACCATGGCAGGGGGGCACACTACAATTCTGCCCACCCTCAGCCCCTTCACCAAAAACAACACCATGATCAACCAGGCCACATCCTACAACTATCCAGTGCCCCTCCAAGATGATGGGACATACCTGACATGCCCAGGTCTCTAGCTTGGAATGGCTGAAGAAATTGTGAGCACCTCTGGTGGCATGGAGAAGGCTCCTTCCCCTGTGGACAATACAAAAGTGAAAAGCTACTCCAGGGGGACAAATGTATTCTGTTCTTGATACTTGCTACAGTATCAGCAATGATGCAGGTGGATTTCCTCTTTCAGCTGCTTGAGGAATGGTTGGGGTGGGATATTATCTCCTTTACTCCTACAAACTCTTGAGCTAGGGCACCTACACCTCTAAAAGACCACTGATCTTTTTTAAGCTTTTATACACCTACCAAGTTTCAAGCCTGAAAAGTCTTGTGCATGTGTGGATCAGAATCACCAGGGGGAGCTTTGGTTAAACAAAAATACTTGAACCTTGCCGCATACCTAACAAAAATCTGTTAATAGTGTTTCTCAGTGATTCTAGTCCCTGTGGCTAATTTAATTAAAATTAAATTCAAAATTCAGTTTCTCAGTTGCACTAGTCACGTCTCAAATGATTGGTAGTCAAATTCGAGTCATTGTTTTTTGTTTTTTGTATTTTTTAGATGGGGGGTAGTGGCAGAGGGAGAGAGAATCTTAAGTAGGCATCATGAGCTGAGCAGAAATCAAGAATTGAACACTTGGGGCACCTGGGTGGCACAGTCAATTAAACATCTGCCTTCAGCTCAGGTCATGATCCCAGAGTCCCAGGACTGAGTCCATCCAGGGCTTAAGCCCTGCCTGGGGCTCCCTGCTCAATGGAGAGTCTGTTTCTCCCTCCGCCCCTCAGCCTGCACAATGCGCTCTCTCTCTCTCTCAAGTAAACAAAAAAAAAAAAAAAAAAA